TCACCAAGAGGCCTGCTTTGTCCTGCCAACAATCATTTTAGAAGTTTCCAATTCTGGATGCATTTTTTCTGTGGAAATTTCTCCTTCCAGGCTGTCACCAGGCAGACCACGGCTGATAGATCTAATTGGTGCCGCAGGATCAGCACTGCTACCTCTGGGCTGGGTGGCTGAGCCTCAAGTACCAGGTCATGCTCTCATGATGCCATGGAAATAATAGTAATTATTTTTTTTGCTGTTTCTTTTCTGAATTCAGTCAGAAATACATTGTTTTGTGGACCATTTTAAAGGTTTTTCTAATACAGTGTAAAGTAACTACTAAAAGTTGATAGACTACTATTCTGTAATGAAATACATATTGAACGCATTAAAGACATGGTACCCAGTAAAATTAAAAGAGCTCATAAACATGTTCACTAGGTCCCTAAAGACAGGGGTAATACCACAGGAAGTGGGGAGGGATCCATGTCTTGCCTGTCTAGTTAATATGGGCAGAGCCGAAGACATATGGGCTTATTTTACTTGTCAAGAGAGTACCGTAAACACTGAGCAGGTAATAAAACCTATAATTTAGTAAAGGATAAGAACAGAAAGCAATCAGATATACACATATGAAGGAAGACCCTCTGTAAATGTTCGCATGTCTGCAGCCCCACGTAAATGCCATGCAAACCATATGACAGCCTTGGTACATGTTACCAACAGTTCTGAAATTTGCAGTGTGCCCCTGAGCAGCCATTATGTCATCATCCATGAGTGCTAATTTGGGATTTCTAACTGAAACTTGGGCCATTCTGCCAGTGGGACTTCTGCCACTTCCTGAAACGTGGCCAGGCTCTGGCTGTAAAAAGCAAGGCTGCTGTGGTATCTGTGCAGCCGGCCAGCATGCTTGGCCTTGTCTGAAGTCATGCCTGACGTGCCCGGCTGAATAACCACATGTAAAAGTGGAATTAAAAAAGCAGCGTTTCCTATTCTGCTGGAGTAAGCTCTGGCTTAGAAAGCAGCTCCAGGGCTGGAGGTGACCAGGAATCTGGAGATCCGGCCCCCAGCTCCTGCCTTTGCCAGAGAACTAAAGCAGAACCTTGTGCAAACTGGTCAATTTCCTCATCTTCTCCAGATGGCAAAATACCCGTCCCATAAATGTGTGAAGCCAGCTCAATGTTTTTAAAGTGCCTTTTGATTCTCCGATGCAAGGCTCTTATAATCATTACTACATTTGCCAAATAAGTACTGATTTTGTCAGTATTTCTGTGCTTACAGTGTGTAAGTCATTTTTCAGTGACCAGATTTTTGCTGCAATATGAACTGAAAGTCCTAAGGACTTATCTTGACATGGGAATTTCAGCCACCAGATTTTTAAGATGCACAACAGTAACCAGCTTACTGTAAAAACAGAAACCAAACCATAGCTGCAGAACGCTTTCATTTCTTGTCTAATTGACCAGAAAATTGTTCGGAAACACGTAACCCGTTTCCCCATGCCCGTGCCGGCACACAGCTCTTGAGGCTGCACCGTGCTTTCAGGAATATCAAAGCTCCCATAAATACAGGAAATGACCCAGTGAGTCAGGCAGAGAGCAAAGCTCAGCTCTCCTGGGAGCGGGAGAGCAGATCAACTGCTGCCTTTTCTCTCGTTCCAAAACCAGTGTTTGGCGCTTTCCCAAATTCTTTTACATAATCCAGTTCTGTTAGTGAACATGTCAGTTTAACCAGCATTCAAATCAACCTCCTCTATTTTTTGAATTGGATTTTTAAGCTCCAAGCAGGATTCTGCACCTCAGCTGCCAACTTTTTATGTGGTGGCACTTGAGACTGTTTGGCTATAGAAAATCAGCCAGTTAGGTAATTTAGTGAATATACCAAATTACTGTACTTATTAGCTCACAGTCAGCTTATAAACTAGCTGCTTCTCCTCTGAAGGCCTAAATTGCAAGCTTGGTCCTCAAGTGAAACTCGCCTTCATCGGAGGTGTCCAGGTATCACTGTGCAGTCCTGCATGGAAGAGGAAGGGGAGCAGCAGAGACCCAAGCCAGGACTGAAATGTTCTGCAGCATGTTAGGAAGTTTGCACATCGTGCTTTTATTTCTTGATAGAGCCACTTACTGGCAGCAATACATTGTGTCTGCAAAGATTATAAAGATTTCACAGGGTATCACAGAACAGTCTGCATTGGAAGGGACCTTAAAGATGATCTAGTTTCAACCCCCCTGCCATGGGCAGGGACACCTCACACTAGACCATGTCGCCCAAGGCTCTGTCCAATCTCGCATTGAACACGACAGGGATGGAGCATTTACCACTTGGGCAGCCTGTTCCAGCTCCTCACCACCCTCATAGTAGAGAATTTCTTCCTAATGTCTAATCTAAATCTCCCCTCTTTCAGTTTAAAACTGTTGCCCCTTGTCCTGTTACTACATGCCCTTGTAAAAGGCATATTTAAAAGTATATTTATGCAAATTTTTCTTTTGTATTTTCCTTAAATTTCTTTTCTTCCTTCTGCTCTTGCTCATTCTCTTCCCACACTCCTCCCTCACCCATACAGTAAAATTGTATGAACTTCCACAAGAGAAACACCACATCACCTATTTTTTATTAAAACCTAGGGGTTGATGCAGAAATCCTAACTGTAACTTCAGCATCACTGTGGAGACTAACACATACTTTGAAGCGGAAAACTTTGGTTGCCTCTCACCATCTGATTTTGGCTCACTGTATTTTTTGTAATAAACCTGGAAGCCCACAGATGGAAGCCCACCATGCACAAGTGCTTCTCTGTGAAGCTCAGGGCACCCTGGCTATTGCAGACCCCTACAGAAAGCACTACACAGTGCCTGAGCCTGGTCAGAGGGGTACCCACACTTTGTCCAAATTCTAAGCTACAGGAGCGCAGACCCATGGTCAAATTAAATGAGTAAAAGTACTTTTCAATTCTGCTATCACCTATAGAACCTACTTAGTTGCATATACATTTTCATGCCCTCCTTTTATGAAGATTTGGATGTTTGATATCAGAATCATTTAAATCTGTCTTTCAAACAAATGTGTACACTTTCAGGAAAACATAACTGCATTATAGAAGATAAATGGTTGATTCTGAGTAGCCACAAGTAGATGAATACATTGCACATGTATTGTAACAGTGACAGAGAAGGAATAATGACAGAAAATGCAAGGCTTTTGGGGGAGGTATACAGAAAAGGAGAGAAAGCGTTACATTATATTCAATTATACAACAAGAAGAGATTAATATTATAACCTAAATAGACTCAATTCTGCTGAACATCTTTTTTTCACGTAGGACGATCTATTTTGCAATACTAAGAATTTCAAGTTACTTACTAAGACAGAGTGGACTTCATGGGGTTTATGCCCTACTTTTAAGTCTCTGTGAATGATTAATACAAACATCTTATCTGACTCAGATTCTTGTCATTGTTCAAACCAGGATTAAATAACATCATTGTACCCTTTCCTTCTCTTTCTTTCTAGTTCTGGAGAAGATTTGAAAGAAAGTGATATCTTGATTGATGTGAACTAAAAAAAACCATCCTGAGAAGATAAACTCTAGGATTTTATCATCAAAGACATAAAAAAATAGGTTATTATTTTGCACAGCTCAAGGATTCTTCCAGCAGATGCAGCGGTGATCTTGACACAATTTACACTCAAAACCACATGCGCTGCTGGTTACTTTCATGCATACTGGTAACATTTGAATACTTCATATCATCGTATGCACTTCTGCATGAAGATAAAATAAAAAGTAATTTCATCTTTTAATATTATCACTGTGCCTTTTTTTCTATGACCACCTTTTCTAAGCTTTTCCAGGATGTTTTATAATTATTTGTGACAAAGTCTAATGCTATTCCAAAACACACAGAGGGTTTTGGGGTGCTTTTGCCAAAGGAGGGAAGAAGGCTAGGAATCATTTAGGTGCTGTCCAGATGAGAAAAAAAGGAGCCAGTGATGACGGGTGTGCTATACAGCAGAGATAACACCTCCTTCTTTTGCAATAACTGCTTCTTAACGGTGTAAGATTTTGTTTAACTGACACAGGACACGTACTATTAGGAAACGGCTTTGGATTGGTTTTCACAAGTACAGTGAACAGGAAGTTTCCCAAAATACTGAATTTCTGCCTAGCAACCCAAGCCCCTATAATAAGCCCCTTAGATACAGACTATAAATGATCATGAAAAGATACAAAGGAAGCTGTGAAAGAAACGCTTGGTTTGGATTTATTTACATTCTTTGCTTGCTGTTGAAGTACTGACTGTTATAAACAAAAATATACTTTACCTGTCTGTCCTGATCAGTTAGTATATTATTTGATAAAGGCACATATCCAACAGAGTGATAGGTAACTGCACAGCAATTTATATCCATCAGCAACAACTGAGAATTACTGTGGACAGACATGACAGAATAAAGGAACAGACGGCTCTCGTAATGTTACTTTAGGATCCCATTCTGACAGAATTTAGACATATATGAAAAACTATTTATATAACTTGGAAAAATGAGAATTTTTAACTAAAATAGGTCCTTTAGAGCAACACCATTTGTAGGAATACAGCTTTGTAAAACTCGCGGGAAGAATTTCTCACAGCTTTGTTTAGTGAAGTCTATAACGTTATCTGTCCCACAGATCTAAACAAAATCCCTCTTACTAGACCGCGACAAAACGCTTGATTTAAAAGAGGCTTTGACAACTTTTGCCCATTTCCCCTCTGCGCTATTCGGGATCTTGAGGCCACCGGTTGAACGAGCTGAAAACTCCGGTGCCCGGGCCCCGCGTTGCCGGGGCAGCCCCACCACCCCGCCTCGGGCCACTTCGGTACTGGGACCCGCCCGGGCTCACAGGTGAGCCGCAGCTGCTTCAGCCGCGGCCAACATCGCCCGGAGCAGCGCGCCCCTTCCCCGCCGCCTGCTCCCCGCCCTCCTCCGGTCTCGCTGGGGGCGGCAGCACCCGGCCAGGGCCCCAGAGGTGGTGGCTTCCCAACACCCGCCGCGCGGCAGGGAAAGAGAAGCAGGAGGAAGAAAAGAGGCTGCGTGTCCCGCCCCAGCTCCGTTTCCTTCCGGGTTGCGGCACACCACCTCCTCCTTGGCCTCTCGCCCCCCGTGCCATGAGGGCTGCTGACGGGAGGGACGCCCCGGAGGGCCCGCTCAACCCAGGGCGAGAGCTGCCCTTGTCCCGGGGGGGCGGGAGCCACGCGGCGTCCCAGGACAAGCTCTTCTTAATCAAAGGTGCAGAAAGCGCTTTTCGTCTGCCCCCCTACGCCTGCACGGGTCAGGGATGGGCAGCAGCGGGTGCCGGAGCCCCGTGGTCGCCCCTGCCGTGCTGCTTGTCCCGGCCGGTCGTGCCTCAGGGACAGCCCAGGCGGCGGCCGGGAGAAGGGCGTTTCCCTGCCTTGGCCAATACGTCTGGGTGCAGTGAGAAAGCCCTTAGAACGCCGCCCGCCTTTTATCTCCCCTTCAGCGGCAACGGCACCTGTCGCCCCACAGCCACCCGCCCCCGACAGGGGACCAGACACGGGGCGACAAGGCACCGGCCGCAACGGTGCTGCTGGGAGGGATCTGGGGGCCCCCGTGCGCGTGAGCCGAGTACGGGCCGGGGTCGGCAGCCACGGGGGAAAGCCGCCTGCCTGCCTCGCACTTCAGTGCGGCGGCGGGGGCTAAGGGCGGTGGTTGCCGGGATGCCCTGAGGGGGTAGGACCCGTTGGGAAAGAGGCGGCTCGTACGGGTTACAGGCAGCGCCGCGGGCCCCGTAAAGCAAAGGAGCGGGTCCTCCCGGGCTGGGCCCCAGCGGGGCGGCTGAGGCAGGGGCGCAGCCCGAGTCCCCGCGGTCGCACGCACCTGCGGAAGGCGGCAGCGGGCGCACGGGCACTCACCGCCGCGGTCAGCGCCGGCTGCTCGAGGGGCTCTGCGGGGCCTGCCCGCGCCCCCTGGCGGAGCGGAGGCCGGAGCTCCTCCCTTGCACGGTGGGGGGCAGTGCGTGCGGCCCTGCAGCTCCCAGGCAGAAGAGGTACTTCATAGGTTGCATGGGCAGGAGCTCAGCAAGGTTGTCCAGCACAGTAACAGGACAAGTGTTAAATAGTGCAGCCTCACACAAACATGTTTGCTTCTTGCTTCCTATTCAGGCCTTTTTTGTAATTACCTAACTGGTATTAGGAAAGGGAGAAGAGGCTGGGTACCAGTAGTTGCAAAGAAAGAACCTGTACACCACCACCCCCAATTTTTTCAGGTGTACTGTGACTCAGATGGTTTTGTACAGTGCACTCAGTCTTTGTAACAAGCCCTTTTCTTAAAAGTGGGCAGCTACATGTGCTGTGACACAAGAACTAGAAGGGATCAAAGGACCCCAAATGGCTTTGGAAGCATTCTGAAAGAACGGATAAGCGAGGAATCCTTTCTGTCTTGGGAAAACTGCTGGTTATGTGTTTTTGGTTTTGGTTTTGTTTTTTTTTTGTCTTGTCATGGAGCATGGGAACATAAACCAGAGAAAGCTGAAGAACAAGTGTTGCTTATGGAGTGGTCTGCAGAGGTACTGGTGAATTTTCAGGTGAAGGGTGATGCATAGCATTCTTACAAGAGAATTTTAGTAGCCTGGCTCTGAAGTGAGAAAAAATCTGAAGTACTGTAAGAAGGCATCATGGCATTTGAATGATTTCTCTGTGTGTGTTTGGCTTGCAAATACACTCGCCATTAGTTTTCAGAATGCTGTAATTCACAGAATCAATGCTCTGTCTGGCTTTCTTGCCATATTGGGTTAATGTAAACAATGTAGACAACTGTGCCTTTCCCTTCAGCATGTACTGACAGATCTTAACTTTTCAGATTTTAATTCCCAGACAGGTTTGGGTTTGTGGCTTGGTTGAGCTTTTTTTCTCCCCTTAAGAATCAAAATATTAATCTTTATTTTTTTAACTTTTCTTGGCAGGTGGAATTTTTCTAGGTACCGTTGCTACTGCAGGAATGATAGCAGGTTTTGGCACCACACTTGCCATGACAAAAAAGAAGAACCCAGACTGGTTCAGTAAGGTTTGTTCCTTTTAAACTATTTTCCAGTTGTCATATGCAGGAAAAAAGAATGCATCAGACGCTTTATAGAAATGTTGGTACATGTTAAGTTTGGTTGTACAAAATTGATGGTAAGAGCACTGTACTTAATGGAAGTCAGGAGGGGTAGGATTAACTTAAAAATCCATTCAGAGTTGGCACTGCTAAATACTTAAGTACTTGAGATTAGTTGACGTACATAAAGCTTATGCTGTTTGTTGGACTCATTACTGTTGCTGCAGCATGCAATGGAATTGATGTCCTGTCTTGACTGCATACTGTGTTGACACGCTTCAGTCACAAGCCTGTATCACCTTTGTGGTCCAGTTCACCATGTGGTCTCACAATACTGCAGTGAACCAGGAAGCGAGGTAACTGTGCTAAGGATGGGAATGAGGAGGTGGAAAGCCTGTTAAGATGTAGAATATGGAAGTGAAATAATTTAGACAAAATTCAGGCTTTCCCCTCCCTTCGCACCACTTAAAGGGACTGATGAAGTGAGCAGTGGCTTGATAGTTTGAAATCTGATGGCCAAAAATAATCTGATCTCATGCAATTGGTAACAGGATTTACCTGAACATGTGAAGAAAAAGACTGCAAAGCAAAAGTAGCAACTACTCTTGTAGAGCAGCATCAGTAGAGTGTTACTGGCAAGAGAGAGAGCTGGAATGGCACTTACTGTACCTCCTCCATGGTAGTGAGGTAAAGTAAATATGAGCATATGTAGGACTGGCCTCCAAATTGACTTGAAACTGAGATTATGTGTTCCTGTTCAGTGATGAACCACTGCAGAGACCTTCAGTTAAGAAATTACTGTGGGTGGTGTTATAATTAAATGCTCAGATGCAGCAGCTTTCTTGTATCTAGTTTTACCAAATGCTGAATTTTGCAATGGATTAGGTCATACAAAACAGTGAACATGTGGAGTACAATCAACCAGAACAGCTGAACACACCATTTATTTTAGGCACTGCTTCCTTTTAGACACACTCTTACCCACAAGGGGATGATAGCTACAGGATTGAGGCCTGTGTCTGAAAAAAAACCACTGTCATCCCACTTCCTGCTTATATCCTCCAGAAAAAAAATAAAGGAGGGGAGGGGGTGAAAGCAAATATTTTGGTAATCAACTAATTCTGCCCTATATTTTCCTGGCCTGGTTTGTAGAAAGACTCAAGTATTGTTTAATAGCTTGTTTTTAAAGTGTTGCTTAAAAAAAAGATAGGAGCAGTAATGAAGAGAAAACAATCTATGCACAGAAGAATGGGCTCATGGATAAAACTCAGTTCTGTTAAAAATGTTCTTTTGTTTGTGACATCTTTTTCTTCCACGCTGCTGGTGTCTTTTAAAATTTTATAGCCTTTCATTATTCAGCTTTCTTGATGCCCTGAACAGCATATCTTATCATCATATAATAAACTGTCTTGTTTACAGAATTCCTTCTCTGTGTACCCCGAGGAATCAGCCTGTGACTGAATGCTGTCAGTAAAAACAAATCAATTGTTTCCACTTGCCACTATTTTTCTGGGGCAATCAAGCATTTAAATAGTATTCAGGCGTGCTTTATTTTTTTTTCCCCAGCAATTTTCACAGATAATGGCTCCTATTTAAAGATGCTGTGTAGAGGGTATTTTTGTCCATTCATTTCCCATCTTCCAAATGGGAGAAATTTGCCTGCATGTTGTTATATACAGTTAGACTATGGAAGCAGGAAAAATGTCAGAAACAATCATCAGCATTTTAAATCTACTCAGAGCAGTCGCTGCTGAAAGAGTTACGAAAGTTCATTAGCTGTGGTAAGGAAATTAATAGAATCTGGTATAATAGTGTGACTAGAGATCTCTGTGTCCTTGTTTGTGTATGTATATGCTTATAGAGTGTGGTTTTGTTAACAGCTTCCACTTTGGGATGTCCAAATCACAATAAATAAGGATAAATATGCATTTTCCTTGTGCCCTTTGCAAGTGTTTATTTGTCCTTGGATAACTGTGCCTATAGCTAACTCCTAAGAAAAAAGTGTTAATGCTGAGGACTATCTGAGGGTCATTTAATAAATACAAAGCCAAGAGGAAAAAAATCCCATTGATGCTACTTCACTGAACAAATACCATAGTGATAGGCACCGCAGATATTTAATTACATCAAAGAAGAAAAGAAACCATTAAAAAAAAAAAGCAGTCCTTTAAAACAAGAATGCAAAAGATTTTTTTTATCCCACTTTTCGTGATGAATAGAAAAATGCAGCTCTTTGGCATGCTTTGAAGGAAATCTTTTTTTGATCCTCAAGTTTCAGTATTTTAGACTATAAATGAAACAATTCTTTATTGAATGTATTTGTATGGTTGCAGCCTCATTTATGTTTAGCTGCTTTTTGCCCTGAGATACTCAGTAAGTAGGACTGTTCAGTTGTGTAAGGACCGTAGATGACAGTCTTCAACAGTTACCAGCTGAAATCTGTATTTCTATGTGAAGAATTGAACAAGTGATCCTTTGTGGAAATTAAACAGACTCTTTTGCTGACGTTTACCCACTATAAGCAATAGGATTATATCTGACTTGCTGCTGCTGTGGGCTACACAGATTGAAGCTGTCCTATACCAAATAGGTACAGGGAGGTGGGCGTTGTGAGATGAAAACAGCTGGCTAACGGTGAATTGGTTGATGTCAGCCAGCATGTGGTTTATGCCCTTGGTAGCTGCAATGTGCTGCAACAGAGAATGTTTCATCATGGTTGTGACCCTATTGTGGCTGAGGCTCCATTCCTCTTGGCCTGAGGTGGCCTTTCCAAGGGACAGTGTTTTGTGTTTTCAGGACATATCTCATGGCATGCTCTTTTGCAGCACTATCTTAACAACTGGTTAAAACCACCTGCTCTTGTTTCTGTCAAAAATGAGAAGTATGGAGCCTGCAGAGCATTTTCTATGTTGCCACTTGGTGAATTCTGCAGGGGGATGGTTGTTTGCTCTTTACAAAATTTTAACTACTACTACTGTAGTTTCCTATAATTTTGAATACTACTACTAGTTTCCAGAGCTCCTTCAGAGTTGTAGCCCTTCAAAATCTCAGTCACTGTTATACCCTGTGTCCAGTTGAAACTACTCAGGTTCTGCCATTTTCCTAATCTGCTGTTTCAGGACTGCAGATAAAGACCTGTAGGCCAGTGGTTGCCTCCCACCCACACCCCACTAAGAACAAGTACCAAAATCAGTGATTGATGTACAGTGATTATGTTCTGACATCACTGGCATAAGGGCTTGTGACAGCTGTTTTGACTGGTGGGATAGCTGAGTGTCAGATTCTTGTGCCCATGAAACAGCTGACCAGCATTTCTGGGTAATAAGAATCACACCCAAGTGGTAGTGGCAACCATGAAAACTGTTTCTGGTGGGAAGCCAGCTCATCCACCCCCTTGCTTGGCTCTTTGGGTCTGCTGGCAGCCATAACACCAGTAGAGTTGGCAAGTAGGGAAAAATTGTAGATTGCTAAGTTAACATTTTTAGTTCCTTTTTTTTTTTTTTTTTTTTCAATTATTGGTCACTTTGTCTTAATCACTTTTATTTTTGGTTCCAGGGGATTACTGCCACGGCTACATTACCAGAGAGTGGTTCGTCACTGGCTTTACGAGCCCTAGGATGGGGCTCACTGTATGCGTGGTGTGGAGTTGGATTGCTAAGTTTTGCCATCTGGAAGGCTCTGGGTGTGCACAGTGTGAGTAGCAAGTACAGGCCCCTCAAACACTGTATTTTTCCTTGGGTAATGCATCGTGGGATGGCATCTCTATATGCTTCAGCCTGGGAGTCACATCTTCATTCACCATGCATAGAGTGTCCAAGTAGAGTCCATGCACACTGGGACGGTGAAAAACAGGATGCTTTGGGAGGAGACAATTTTGGGGTGAACAGTTTTGTCCTGCTTATGTTTATTTGCACAGATGTTTCAGATACTTCACAAAAGAGCCGGTGTTCTATTTAGAGACTAATACAGTAGCTACAGCTTTCTATATTCTTTGCTAACTGAATTGAAGGCTACCCTCTAAATCCTAACTTTACAGCAATCAGTTTATTTGTCCAAATCCCACTCTTTTTGTGTCAGGGCACTGGGGACATACAAAAAAAAAAAAAAAGAGAGGAAACCAGCTTGCTTTTTAGTGTGTTTCTGGAAGGGTCAAGAGGGCAGAAGATCTGACTTTCATGTGCGGTAGAATGGTGGTCCGTGACATGCCACATCAACGCAAAGAAACTTGGGAAGCAGCTGTATGTCCCAAGAGGTTAAGGCTATCTTTAGTAAATTGCTTACATTCCAGTGTTTCACAGTGGGGAGTGCGAACACTGAAGTTCATGTAATTATTTTTGTTTGCCCCTAGTAACGAGCAGCGTTACTTAAGAGTCCCCTGCAGCGGTAGGTTTGGCAGAGCTGTCTGCATCCTAGGACTGGGAATGAATAGACTTTCTTCACCTTCCATGGCAAATTATTTATATGTTCAGCAGTGTCTCCCAAAACTAGAAGGAAGAAGACAGATACTACTTCAGTAGTGTTCTCATTTCTTGTTTTCTGTTCTGATGTATCCGGTAAGTCATGACTTGGGTCCCAGCATACAGCACTACACAGTCCCTCATTCCTTAGTTTCCAATGCCAATTCTCAATAGGAACCAGTAAAGGAAGGCAGAATACCAAAAAAACGTATCAGGACATAGGAGACAGCTACAACACATTTTGTTTCAACTCGGGTCCTCCTTGTGAGGCTGTTACGGAATGGCAGAGAAGGGGAGGAAGAGTGGGAGTACCAGTTTATACTCGGCATGCTGAGCTACTCAGTTTTGTCAGTTAAATCACCAGCTAAAAGGATCCGTTTCACACTATGTTGCATATTCTTATTTTCAGACTGTCAGAGTACTTCTGGTCCTGCCAAAGAACATCAGAGTCTGACCCTAGTCTGCAATGTACATTAACTGTTTCTCAGTAAGCTTAACTTTTACTTCCTTAAGAGTTATTGGCCTATACCCACAGTTGCCTGGTTTCCCTGTGAGGCTGCTTTCCTTGAGAACATCTCTGTAAGCTTGAGATGGCCAAGACCCATGATGTGTCAGAGACTGTTGGGGCTTCTGGTTACCTGACAGCAATGAGGTCTTGTGTCAGAAGCATACAGCACATTGCAGGGCATTTTAAAGACTCATCAAAAGTTCCTACTCAGGAAGCTGCACCTTACTGTATTCTGTGTTGTGTTAGTGTCGAAAGGAGTTGGGGAAAACTGTATTTTAAGAGTCTCTAGCAAATGCCTGTTGGCATTGGTTTCTGTTGTGGAGTGCTTACGTTTTGCCATAGTGGACACCAAGAACTGCAGATGCCAAAGGAAGCATATTCCTGTCAAGAGACTGTCTCTGCACAGGATTTTGAACAGCTCTCTGCTCTCTGATGACATACTGCCTTCACTATAGACTTGTAAATTCCCACTGCAGAAAGGAAAGATGTACAATGGTGCTACTCATTATTGCAAAATAAAAAACTAGCAATTTATAAGTTTCCTGTGACACATACATTTTTCCTGGTTTACTGTCTGTTAAAATCAAGTATAAACATCTTGAAAATTGGTGAAGGTACAAAAGCAGCAGTATGCTAAAAATGCAGTACTCTGACCAAAGCAAAGAGGCTCATTAGCATTAACAATATACTTCTAGAATAAGTCATCTTTGATTTTTGATTGGTTTTGACACTTTTTGCATGCTGCTTTAACACTCAGGAGCAAACACTGACTGTTGAAAGACAGTATTTTTTGTGCTTAAATATTATTTTCCCAAGCAGTTGAGATTAAATAAGCAGTTATAAGCTGGCTGGTACATCATTAGTTCTGGACTCTTAGACACAGGGTCATTTTAAGAAGGGCAGTTTATTTATTTTCCTATTTCAGGGGAACATTGTGATACTTCTGAAAATTCTTAATTGCTATCATATAAGCAGAGATAATTAACATTCAGACAAACTATTGTTTTTTAAAAACAGATATTAGATGCATACGTTGTATCTAATAATTATTAGATATCCACAAAAATAAATATTGTTTGTGGGAAACTCTTTACTGAATTTATCACTGAGTGAAAGAGTTTCTTTCCATATAAACTGTTGAGACCACAGCAAACACCACAGATTTTATACTAAACTCAACATTTTCAAATGAACATTTTGATTTTAATTAAACATTTTACAAAGAGGCTCTTGCAGATGTACCTGGATAAAAATGTCGTGATTCTTCAGCATGACCAAGTGCTGTGAGTTCATTTGCTCTGTAGTACATGTAGGTTCCCCAATGCCTATAGAAGTTCAAGTTACAATTTCAAACCTAGCATCAGGTATCAGAATTTCAAAGCTATGAGCTTAAGATAGGCTTCAGCCTCTGAAAGTATTAAACTGTGTGTGACTCGAGGGGAGACTTGACTCATTTTGATGCCAGGAATCTGTTTGAACTTAGTAACTAAAGCTTTGGCAGCTGGGCAAAGAGAAGAAGAGGTTCTGCCCAGCCTCTTCACCTTGCTGCCTGTAACAGTAACCAGCTGCTTTTGGGACCTGCTGATTAGTGATATGGCCCTGCTGGGCAGCAGCTTAATTTAAGAGCTACTGGTAATATTGATAACATTACTGACATCTAATACAGTCTCTCGAGATTAAAAAAATTGTTTATTAAATCGTGAAGGATAATAAAATTCTAATTGTAAACACTGCATACGTTTCATTTTGCAAACAAGAAAGCTGCTGCTGTTCCCTTAGTACATTAACTCCAGCGCATTCTGAAATCCATTGCCAGCTCAGTCCGTGTAACTGTCTTGGTGAGATCATAGTGAGTAAAGGACTGACCTTCACTTGCAGAGTTTGGAGGGGAGTTCTGACTTAAGTAAGACTGAGTTGCAAAGTGTTGTTTAGCGCCTCCTGTCACCTCCAGGAGTAAAATACAAGAAGCTGCAGGAAAACCAGGAAAATCGACCGTGATGGTTTGGCAGGAGCCACACCGAAGGGAGTGAAATTGCTAGATGTTGAAGTGGAGCTGCTCTGACCAGGAAAGCTACTGAGCAGCTCCCCTACTGCCTGGCCAGCCGCCGGTGGCTTTACAGGAGGGACACAGCAAAGCTCGTTTGTGAATTTGAAGTGCAGTGAAAGCTGTACTCGGCGGTCTTTGTGCTTTGAACTCTGCTGCCGTTACCCACGCACTGCTTTGGAAATGATGGACTATTCAGTTCGTGTGGCAGAATTGCCCTAACCCTTTACCTCGGCGTTCCTGCCGTAGATCCGTTGTTACTGTAGTTGTGCCCGCATGAGGCGGTGAGCGCCTCCCGCACACCTGAGAGGGAAGAATTAGCACAGCCAGCTGCTGCTACCATTATTTCTGGTGGGGTTTTGGGGGTGAAGGAAGGGAAAGTTCCGGTGTGAGTTCTCCGCTGCAGAGCGCCGGTCAGCTCTAGCCCGTTCCCGGGCCGAGGGAAGGCGGGGATGGTCTCTGCTACCCCGCAGCGACCCCAGCTGGCCTCGGCGGGAGTGGCAGCGCAGGCACAGCCTCCACAGGAAGCGGCCCCGGTTATTGTTCACGTTGAGGGGATGAGTGGGTTTAAACATCTTGTAACGTCTTTAATCGTTTTATAACGAGCGGGGGATACATCAGTGCACAAGTAGCCAAAGGTGTTGCCGTTAGGTGGAGCCCTGAAGAGTAGTTTTGCATGGTATTACCATGCAGATAGCGGCATTACATCATTACCGTTACCAAAATGCTGTGACTTTTAACGTTCGGGGATTTGTTTCCTAGGAGCATGAATTATCAACAGGACAGCGAGTGATTGATAAAATCGTGTATTACCCTAAACTTTGTTTAAATGATCTTATCACTACTTACAAAGAGATAAATGACAAGAGCAAACTTGATGACTTATAATTGCTGTAATTAATCTGTGTTGTCATCTGGAAGCAGCATCGTGATTGCTCTGCAGTTTGTGTCGTGAAAAGAAACTGAAGCCGTAGTTCAGTACACCTCATCCTTACGCCTTCTGAGACAGCCTGTGTTTGTCATAGAAGCAAGTCATTGCCAACATCTGTTCCAGACACTGAAGTGCTGCACCAGCTTTGGTGATATGAGACTTTTATTAATCTTTGTGGTTTATTGTTTTTTAATACAGTGCCTACTTCCAGCTCTTAAATGGCTTTATTGTTAAAGGTGGTTCCTTGTAGCTTTACAGGCTGCTGCTTTTTATGCCAGCATGAAAACCCAGGGGTGATAGTAGGTAACTGATCCTTCTGTCTTGATAAGGGATATAAACCATTTTATGCTGTCTCAGGTAGGGTTGTTAATATCCCCTGACTGCAGGTACCACTGTTGTATTCTGAGGATAGGTTGGTAAGGAATAAACCCTACTAAATTCCAGTCAGTTCTTAATCGTAAACAGAGAAGTGATAGATCAGCGAGTACTTGGTTTGGTAATGGTTTAAGTCCTATTTTTCAGTAATGTAAAAGAGAAATCATTGTTTTCAGAACCTAGGAGATGGTGGTTACCTAGGTTTACATTGTTCCTCTTGCAGAAAATAACAAGCTGTCAGTAACAGACTTTTTTTAACTTGCTTCTTGGAGTCTCTTAGGAAAATATTTAAAGCCAGTCTACTTTTGATTACCTCTGAGCACAGAACCTCTGTCTGTATTAGCAAGTGTCATCAACCAGCAGCACAGGGGCAGTGAA